ACTCACCAGAGATGAGAATTTTCTTCTGTTCGTTTTTATTTTTGCCAAAATAATTTCACAGGAAAATTGTTGACATCATGATACAAGATTATTTGATATATACTAGTAGTCTGTTTCATTAATTGTAAGTTACGGGAGCGACTTTTTAAAAAAGTTTAATGAAAATGGTGAACGGTGTTGGATATGTCTATTACTCTGGACAAAACACTGATGGAGTTGGTGTTCTGAACTATTAGTGTAATAGTAGCTTCTTGGTGAAAGTATATTATTTATTTCAAAAACTGTTTACATCGAACCACAACCACAATTACAATTCACAATGTGTAATGCTAATTATAACCACGTGACGTCACGTCAGACCATAGCCCTGCGTACAGTGATGTGTGTACGGGGACGCGTTCGGTTGATAGATGTCCCCACCACAGCCCAGCGAACCTTCATAGACAAAGTCCGGGACTTTGAAAAAAATATCTTTTTTAATGAAATAACATGCCCAGGTACCAAAAATGATGATCGATTACCAGATACATGTATATACAGAACTATCAGTTCGGAATCCAATTGTGGATGGAATCGGCTACTTTGCCCTAAAAACAAACACATTCTCTTGCGTGAATGAAATTAAAAATGGCGGCGTTTGGTGGACTATTACTCCGGTACCAACGCGTTTACATTTTGTCCGTCTTTACACTAGTATTTTTAAAGACATTTCGGTTTCAGATAACTTTGTAATGGTTGTTACGGATAACTATCGTCATTTCAATCGATTTCGACTGGGAAACTACTTATTTTTAACTTGCGCATCAATTACGGTGCGCTCCCGGACTTTGTCTATGGAGGTACGCAGAGCTGTAGTGGGGACATCTATCAACCGAACGCGTCCCCGTACACACAGCACTGTACGCAGGGCTAGTCAGACCAATGCTATTCGATTCAACAATTCGACGTCCCTGACCGCTACGGTATATATTCGCTGGATCGAACCATTGACTCATCTCCACATCTTCTAAATACATAAATATTCGTTCCCATTGCATCTATCAAGAACATATTAGAAAATACCACAACAATGTGAGTGAAATACTATAAGAACCGTCACATGGTACACTTTATACGCACTTGCACGCTGACTACTGCGAATTAAGATAGAATGTTATTTAATAGTAAAAATGATGCCAAGATCTATATTGTTTTACATAGGAGAGTTTCATGTCACAATAATAATTAAAAAAAACTAAAATAAAAATATTGAGCCAATGTAAAAAATGATGTAAAACATGTTTTGTTTACTTTAGGGAATTTTCATTTTTTCCGATGGCGAAAATATCTCATTATTTTTGTAGATTACATATGGTAAAAATAGACCGGGAATAGGTTAAAAAAAATCAAGTACTGACAAATATTAAAACGATTCATTATAAGTAGATTTTTACACGAAGTATTGTCACTTCATAAACTTACGAATAACATTCTACAATATTATATGAAATTATTTCCTAATAAATACCGATGATTTATATACAAAGTGCCAGGTTTAAGCATATTTTAGCGCTGTAGCACAACTTTCTGATTATTAGAAAATAATAGAACCTGTGATGATGTCCATTTGCTGACAAATAAATGACAATATCGAAAACACATTTGAACCATGCCTTCTAGTGACATAGCAAGGACGCAGATAGTTAAAACTTACAACTGTTTGTCTGCATAGACGTTTATCACTTGGAAATACAGAAAATATCTCAAAATCAGTCGTTTTCAACTTTTAAAATATTAATCACGATAGTTTCTCACTGTGCTTCACGTAATCACATAATTTGTGCAATAACTCAGATCCAGTGCTTTATTTATTTTTACATCTACAGTCAATGAGAGTTGCATTATTTGCAGTGCATTTGTAAATACCAAGCACAATTTAAATAAATTTTGCATTATTTGTTTTCTGTTCCTGCTATAAAAATTCACCCTAAGATTGAGTATGTGATTACAGATTATAAGGGGGGGGGCGTACCCCTTGAACACAGAGGCAAATGGCCTCTCGTTCAGCACGCCATTAAGTCAGAGAAGAATGTGGATGTTGTATTAACCTTGGACTGATAACGCCAAACACGTGTTTGGAAAAGGCAGTTGACTTATCCTGCCGTTCTTCAATTACGAACACAGTGTACAGACCTGAAGATGGAACAAATGGAGGAATTTCCACAGGATCCCGACGTCAAAGGAGAAAATGACGCTGTTGCCATGAAAAAAGAGTTCAGACTATTCAGTAGTATATGTATAATCGTGGGCTCAATTGTTGGTTCTGGAATCTTTATATCACCTAAGGGTGTGTTATATTACAGCGGCTCGGTAGGCACAGCGTTGATTGTTTGGGCGGCGTGCGGCATCATCGCGTTACTCGGTGGACTTTGCTACGCAGAGCTCGGGTCGTCGATTCCTAAATCCGGTGCTGAGTATACCTATATGAACGAGGCCTTTGGTCCGTTTGTGGCTTATCTTCAATTATGGGTCAGTGTTATCATTGTATCACCAGCAACAATAGCGATCGTTTCACAGACCTTCGCCGTCTACGTCATCGTACCATTTTATCCAGATTGTGTGCCACCGAGCTGGGTCGTGATTTTGGTATCAGAGGCTTGTATTAGTAAGTTATATACTCTTTGGAGAATCTGTCTTAATGGTTGATCCTCGTCAATAGAATTTTGTCTCTTCCAATTATGATTTGGTAATTTATAGGTAAAAGATTTTTTTTTTAAAATGTGAGAGAAAATGGCAGATTTGTATATATTTCCGGCCTCACTCATAGCTTAAAAATCCCAAATGGATACCCTTATTTTTTTTAGTGTACTTGGATTTTGGAAATAGTTATTCATTTAATATTATAATCACGCAATTTACTCTCTATCACAGACCCTTTTATATTCAGTTATTTATAGTTTTCGTAACAAATAATGAACATTGCATGAAGGAGTTTTTTAATCTAATTAATTAAGTTCCCATCTTATGCAGCTGATTAGATGTGTTGACTGAAATTCAAATCTTTTGTGAAACTTTAGAAACAATCCCGAAGGAAGTATATAAAAATATTAAAAACAAAATTTATAAACATATTTGCCAATTTACATATATTTTCTATTTAATAGTTTGTGTCTACACGTATAACTGTGTGACTGTGCGCGGTGCAGCATGGGTACAGAATATATGCACGGTGTTTAAAGTCTTGGGATTAGGAATTATCATATTGGTTGGTGTAGTACGGCTCTGTCAAGGTAAGAAAACAACATGTTTTGTCTTGTAATTATATGTACCCAACCTGGTCAATTTGTGGCTACCGATTCCGAAAATACATGTTATAAAAATGTTTTTAGTTTAAAGCCTCGTTTTCGTCAAATTATTGTTACAGTAATACCAGACCAACCTTTTTCGGTCAGTTTGAGAGGGGCGCTGATTCGAAAATGTATGTTATTCAGGGATGCACTTAGCCTAGATTTGAACTTAAAACCTCCCCAAACTTTATCCAAAAAAACAGTAAGGGCTGAGGTTTCATGCGGAGGTAAAATTTCTAAACAAATATTTTCTGGTCAGTTTCAAGAAGACGATTTCAAAATTCTTGATAAACATGTGTCTAAGGTGTATTTATTCATCAAAATGAAAATAGTTCTGAATCTTTAGTTTTCCGAAGAATATGAATACAAAGTGTCGTATAATTCAACGTATTGCTTATACGTTTCATGACGCTTTCTGTTGACACTCGTTAATTACGTCGACGACATTACTAATCATGATGGGATGAGAAGGTAATGTCGTCTGTAATCCAGGATCCATTTTTGACAGAAATGAAAATGCCGATTTAGACGATGAGAGTGTCGAGAAGCCAACTACTGGTGACAACTACATAAGCATTTCAGTGAATTGATTAATTTTGCCGAAATATAACAAATATATCCTAAAAACGATTTAAATGTTATCTTCCGATCATTGTTTTAAGTTATTCATAAATGAAAATAGCCAGAATTCCTTCAATTCTTATTATATTGTACTTATGTAAAGTATTATCATGTTATAAGGATGATGACGTAGACAAAATTGGGAATGGCTACGCTATTTTTCGAGACAATGTTGTATATGAATATAGTAATGACAGCATTATTCACATAATAACAAGTGTATCATAGTCAGAATGGTAACATTAATGTTTTGTGATTAGAGTCAGTATGCAATGTATCGACTTAAGTACGATGTAATCTATGACACCATGTTTATGACATCATAAACTAGTTTAGTTTGAATGACTCTGATACAAATTTGGCAAACTATGACTGTAAATAACCGAGGTATAAGCTTTTAGAATTTGCTCATAAAAACATTTTATGATACATTTGGCAAATAATCCCCACCGGGTTGACTTGACTACGATGAATTGCAGAACAAGGCAGGCTTTTAAATTCATAAACTCCAAGACTGAAGTGCTTGTATTTCTAATAAATTTTACCTACTCACAAGCTTTGATGCCGACATTAACTAAAAACTGTTTGCAATGTTAGCAAATAAAATTAACAATTTTTGATATCATTTTTTTTACCTGAAAAGCTTCGTCTGGAAAATCTCTCTCCTGCGTGACATCTTGTCTCTTACTGGTTCTGGTACTGGTTTACGCTAATTTGTCGCAACAAGGCTTTTGGTTGAAAAATAGGCCACGCAAACCCTTGTTTTGCATGTTATCCCTAAATAGACCAGAAAACGTTGGTCTGGCATATTTCTTCTCTAGATGACCCCTTCATCACTTGAGAAGTAATTGAGCAAAATAAGGCTTTAGACTGAAATCGTGACCAAACGCAGTCGTAAACACTGTGTAACATACATGTTTGTACCAAATCACAAGTAGGTCCTACAATTTTCTTCATCGCGTCGCTTCCTAGCCGCCCATGTTTTAACATCCAAATAGGGGGCATTCGTATAGACACAAATGGAACATAAGAGAGGGTATGGGATACGCGTAAAAAGCAAAAACACGATAATATTTCAGTAAATTCTCTGTCTTCCGATCTCGGACATTCATATCAGAATCGCCAGATTTCTTTGCATATCTCGGACACAATTTCCAACGACAAATCTAGTATTATATTGCTGCGCCCTCATATGACAATATCCTACATTTGTTTGTTTGTATCAGGTGAAACTCAATATTTGAACTTTGATGGACCTGGCACAAATGTATTCAGATTATCACTGGCTTTTTTCAATGGTCTTTACTCATATATGGGATGGTGAGTATTATATATTTAATATATGTTCGTTGACACTATTCAAACTTTCTTATTGAAGATTATATTTTACCGCCTACATTTTGTATAATATGTGTAAATTATAAAATTATATTTATTTTCGAATAAAATGTCCATGTTTAGATTTTTTCGCTTAAAGAAATTAAAGTTTCACTTAATAGAATAAGAAGTGAGTACTGCCTATCAAAATCAATACTTGGTGAATTTGTTCAGTAATAATCATTATCAGTATCGATTTCCAAATTGTTTAATAAAATACTGATCTTTGTCGCTGAAAGCGCGATTTGTTTTCATTTCAGAAACCTTATCCTACAATCTGAGACACAATATAGCCAATATGCATAAGAAGAATGTCCGACAATGACAGACAAATTGTTTGAGACAATGTTGACTTATACTATGTTGAATTTTCTTAATTATTGGAGGTCAGAAAGGTCAATAAATGCTAATTTACATAATCAATCTGTTTATGCCATTTATTGCATATTGTGTTTCCAAACGACAATAGATACAGTGGTTCAATATTCTGTAAAACTCGTATGCACAGACTGCTCTATTACACACTGTGATACCAATGCAAAAATTAAGTCATCTCACAAAAGGGTCCTTACGTACTTTTTCGTTAACTTTGCATGGCTATCCACTACCTGCGTTTATCTTCGGAATCATTTGTGTGGCAATTCTCTGCATTCAGGTTTCCAATATGTTGAACTTTGAAGCAATATATTGAGGAGGTGTCAAACACACCCATCACAAATATTAAAATTCATTCTTATGTCGGGACTAAAACTACAGTTATATAGGTATGTTTCAATCTTGTCTGTTACAGGTCGATATTAAATGCTGTAACGGAAGAGATGAATAACCCCAAAAGGTAAGTGAGGGATTTACTACGTCGTGGTAATCTGCATAATTACACCACTACCCTGTACCTATATATTGAAACATTTATTTTTTTAAATCATATTTTTCTCGAATCAGGTAGGAATCAGGACGGAAGCACTGATGCGCGCGCTCTGAAAGACTAACTAACTGAGGCTAACTGACTAAATAAATGAACGAACGAATGAATTTTAATTCCTACATTTTCTCTTTTTTAAAGAGATTTTCCGATAGCAGCATCTTTTTCTATGATAACCATTACTATTATTTACGTGATGGCAAATATATCCTACTTTACCGTAATGTCACCGATGGAGGTACTTCAGTCACCGGCAGTAGCTGTAGTGAGTATCGTCAGTAAACGTCATGTAACTGATGGAGGCACACGGACTTGTCACTATATGTACATGGTCGTATAGCTAACACGTAGTACGAGAATTCTAGCACTACGTGCTCGCTATAATAATAACGAATTCCTATTGAGGTGATTCAGTCACCTGTTGTAGTTATAACGAGTACCGTACTAAGTAACGGCTCAGCTAACCTGGGATAGCCGGCAAAATCGTTATGAGGCTGTACGAAAAATAATGACCCCTGTCATTATCTAGTCCATGAGAAGGAGGAAACAAATTATCAAGAATAAAATATATATTATTAAATGAAAAGTAGTACTTTCTGAATTTCGACAGAAATGGTGTGTATATATGTATGTTCCGCTGATAGTTTAGTATTGGGATTCTTGCGGTTTAATTACCTAAAATTACCACAATTCAATCAATTTTCAGATATCTCAAAAAACACACCGGATATATAATTCGTGGCGTATTTATATACACGTATAGTTTGGGAGTATGTCACTGCATGTTGATATGACATATTTTTAAATCTCTTAGACTTTTGGCGATCAAGTACTGGGCAACTTTGCATGGCTTATGCCTGTGACGGTGGCTTTATCAACGTTTGGTACAACTAATGGAAGCGTGCTCGGAGTTTCGAGGTACTGTTAATCTTGTTTGTCTTAATGGAATATCATCGATTACTTTAATATATTTTTATTTCAAGCAAATCATCTGTAACTTCTCTTACAAAACAAACACGTTTTACTCAGTATTCAATTAATACGTTTATACGTTAATAGGTTAGTATTCGTAGCAGCGAGAGATGGGATGCTACCGGATCTACTTTCTATGGTGAACATCAGATATAACACTCCAATGCCTGCCATTATTTCAGGGGTGAGTTAGCGACATTTTCCAGATCTTTGCCAAAATATTTCACATTATTTATTTATTCTAATAAATTTTGTGAACATTTATTTAAGTTTCTCCCGTTTTGTAATGGATATACGGAACGCCACCTTTACAAACTTACACCTTTATAAACTCACACAGCTAATAAATGTAATGTATATAGCAATTTTTACACAACATTATACCCCAAATGATCATACATTTCCAAAGATATCATACAATATATAGAAATATAGAACTTTTTAAAGAATATAGAAACAATTTACCGGAACAAGTGTAAGTGTTTAAAGTTCTGGTCACGGTCAGTTAAAACAGCACTATAGACATGCACATTTAATATTAATATATTTTTCTACTACTACGCTTCAGATGATACTGTCAGTAATATATGGTTTGTACCCGGATGTAGGTGTTCTCATTAATTACACGGGCTTCTCATATTGGTTATTTGTTGGTATTGTTGTAACCGGTCTCCTCTGGTTACGTTACAAACAACCAAATAGGGAACGTCCTTTCAAGGTCAGTGTCGTAGCATGATATTTGATAGATATTTGACTTTCCCTTAACAACACACATTGATCCACGCTTTTCATACTTGCGGTTTTCTATACCCATACTAATGAACAAATACGAAATTTCCTTTTTTGACTAAGTTTAAAAGGTAATTCGTGTATTTGAAATTTGCCAAATAGCGAAATTTATTAAAGTAAATAATTATTTTTTCAGTTCTAAGAATAATATTTTATTCAATTCTTTTTTACAGGTTCCTATTGGGATAGCAATTTTCTTTGCATTGTTTTGTTACTTTTTAGTGTTTTTATCCATATTTATTGCCACAATGGAAGCAGTCATTGGTACAGTCATCATATTGACTGGCATACCTGTTTATTTTTATGGTGTTGTATGGAAATCTAAGCCAAGGTGGTTAAAAAATATACTTGGTGAGTTTACATATTCCTTATTACGACTGTCGCATAACTCCGGTGATATAGTATCAATCAATCAATCAATCAATCAATCAATCAATCAATCAATCAATCAATCAATCAATCAATCAATCAATCAATCAATCGATCAATCAATCAATCGATCAATCAATCGATCAATCAATCAATCACACGCACGTCATATATAAGACAGAATATATGAATTAAGGAATATAAAAATACTCGATATATGGCTATGCAAACAATGTAATCTGAGAATCACCATCAACATTTTTCTATTTATTTATCTTTTTTCTCTTTTAGATACCGGACTACGGTGTGGTCAGAAGATGATGCTCGTCGTTCGTCAAGAGAAAAAAACGTACTGATTTAGTGCTTGTACTCGTTTTAGTATATTTTGTCAAGAGAACGATTTTTGGAGAGCATTTATAATTTATATATTTTATTCGTAAAGGGTCTTTGTTATTATCCAATCTCGAGTTAGTCGGAAGTTGGATGGTTACGTTGAGAAAAGGAGTAATCCAAAAACACACAAAGAAAATACGCTCATTATTCTAGTACATCCTCATGTGAGACAAACTGCCTCACTCGTTGCCCCCCCCCCCGGGTTAACGTGGCCAACTATACAAGTATCCTATGTGTATATTTATGGTTGTGTTAATCTACGTAATCTGTAAATAAAAATGTGTTCTTTTCTTCATTATCACGAGTCAGTTTGATTGTGTATTGTCTACTACCATACAGCCTAATATTAAAATACTCGTTGTTTACAAGCACGACAACGAGATCAAATAAAACTATGTTTTTTTATTTTTTGGAGATTATCACCTAAGTAGTTAGAGGCACAGCAGTCGGTTGGCATGGAAACAAAGTCAATGCTAAATGTTATACTACAGTTGGTAATATAACGCAATGTGGTAACACTATAAGATTGAATGATTTGATTTTATCTAAAGAAAAATAAAGTACAAAATATACAAACATACATGGACATATGAAATACAGTACATAAATGAACATGGTTATAATACATCGTTTTTATACATCGGGCCCTCTAAGTCTAAAAGCAAAAAAAATGCAAATATGTTCGTCGTTTGTCACTATAGCATATTTCTACAAAGTAAAACAACAATCATGGTCGCTATTTATAAATTATTTATGGCGTATGAGGTTTCACTGTAACATAAAAATTGAAAGAATATTTTTTATATTATATGAGCTAACAAAATTGTTGGCAATAACTAAATAACACTCCGTTCTATTAGGTGAATTGAAGGTATATGTCAAGTTGAGTTCCGCATTTTGTTTTATTGAAGAGCCCTATGACGCTCTTGCCATGGCGCCACAGAAACACAAGATCCATGCAATCTGTTTTCTTTGCTATTTTCTGTGCTGATGATTTGTTATTAAGTTATTTATTTTCAACTTCACAGAGATGTATTAATATTTTAAACGAGGAAGTGCATGAAAGCTACTCTAGAAACAAAAAATCCTGATTTTTCGTGAAAGATGTTTTTAGGGCCGGCAAGCATAATCAGTAAGATATTGCAAGAGAATAATTTGTGAGATTTCTTATAAAAAAATGGCGGTCTGAAGCATCTGACCGGGAAAATAAAGCACTAACTGTGGTATTTTTAACTATAATTATAAACTATAACTATTTAATTATAAAGTTAACGAAATTTAAAGTACATTTGATTGTATGATTTTAAAAAATAGTTATAACAGATGTCCATTCACGAATACTACAATAGAGGTAGTATTCGCTGTATTGATAATCACGTGTTGCTTACATTTATTACAACGCCCTAATTGGTCCCATGTATACGATAGACAAACTTCACCAATTCAATTTTCTTATACTATGATTGATTTTATTGAAAACTTTGTTTATTTGTTGATGATGCTTTGAAAAGCAGAATAATATTTTAAACGCAATTTGAACATATCATTTCACAGCGTGTCCCTCTGCTGTAATTTTACAATTGTAGGGATTTGTCTTATAAATAGTAATTGCTCAATACAATTTGATCTATATCATGATGGATATTATGATATCATCAAATCTGCACATTGACCCGTGTGCTGTTTATTGATCTTTATGATCAGTGATCAATTGCGTATCAGTGTATTTGTTGTGGCCTATTGACCAGATTTAGTTATCGTCATGGCGAACGAGTTGCATGCACGGCGTCTTGTTCGAAAGAACCCATCGGATATTGTCAGTGGCATAAACGATGAGCGTGAAGCATCTATATCTCGTACGAATGGAGCGCCGGTCGCATTGGAGAGGAATATCGGTCTGCCAACGGCTATTTCCATTATAATGGGTTGTATAATAGGATCTGGTATATTCATATCTCCCAAGGGTGTCTTACTGTATAGTGGCTCGGTTGGTACTGCCTTGATCGTATGGGGTGTATGTGGTATTGTTGCGTTTCTCGGTGCTTTGTGTTACGCGGAGTTGGGAACCACAATCAAGAAATCGGGAGGAGACTATACGTATCTCTATGAGGTATACGGTTCGTTTATGGCTTTCTTGATGATATGGGTTTATTTGGCAATTATTGGGCCTGGTAACATTTCAATAATTTCACAGACATTTGCAGTATATGCAATTGCACCGTTCTATCCTGACTGCGATCCACCCCAACTCGCTGTGGTACTTGTGTCTGAATCATGCATATGTAAGTATACACTTGGGTTGTTGAAATAAACGACTTTGATATGATCGAATTAATCGATTGTCTTGGGTATTTGTGTCGTGTGCAAAACATTCTATCACTATAATAAACTAATGCAGACGTGATGTTATCTGTACATTTGATATCTTGTCGTCAAATGATAAGATGCTAGTATATTTCACAAACAAGCTAGACTGACTATTCTGACAACGTTGACAATAACAAATAAAAAAACACACACACACACACACACAAACGATTTCCGTAAGCGCCATTAGAAAAAATAGTAACCTAGTACCAGGGACTATATCGGACATGAGGGTCGATCTGGTTTGATCATGATCATTTTGTAAACATGTCCCGTCGTATGACCATAAACTTGCTTTAACGCTGTTTAATTGTGAAACTTTTTGTGTATAAAAATTTAGTGAATGATAAATCAATGTCAATGTCATTATTCCTTACAGTTTTGATATATTTCTACAACTGTATCACAGTGCGTGGAACAGCATGGGTTCAGATTGTAACGACAATCGCTAAAGTATTCGGGTTACTCATTATAATTGTGGTTGGAATTGTACAGTTATTTCAAGGTAAGTGCTATCTATATAAATAATTGAGTTGAGTAAAGTTTGACATAAAAACTATATGGTATGGTATGGTGTCAACTTTATTATAGTATTACGCCATATTGTTTGCGTTACGCCATATTGTTTGCGTTACGTTACATGGCTTGTTATTTGAATTGCACTGCGGTATAAAGCTTGTATTACGTTACGTGATTCATGTTAAATCGTTATTGTTTGTATTACGCTATATGGTTGTAATACGTTATATGGATCGTATTACTGTATGTACAAAGCGTTGTTATTTCATTTCGTAATTTTGAAGAAGTTCGATCTTATTGAACTTTACATATCACCTTCTTGATGTTTCCATTTTTATGGATTAATGTCATTGGGAATTTGGATCACATGACAATTTTTCAAGAAACAAGAAATGTTATTGAAAATAGAAGTTTTTCTAATTTTTCATATACTGTGTCTTGGTGACATTAGGAGAACAGTTTATAATATATTCTGTATTCGCTCATACATTTCAAGAAAATAACATAATTATGTCTTATCATGTCCATTATACACAATTATCTCATGTATGATGCATTGTACATATTGGCACAACACAACACTGTGTGGATGTTCATCTATAGCTTTATATGGCATGTATTATTATTATATGAAATGTATTACTATAAAATGCAATCTATTATAATACATACACCACATGTCTTGCAATCGTCCCGCAACAATGGTTTTACGGTAATAACAAATATCGCCACTATTGCTTCAATTCCAGGGCAAACTGAATATTTAAATTTTGATGGACCCGGAACATCTATCACTCGTATTTCATTAGCTTTATATGCCGGTCTATTTTCGTACGGCGGCTGGTGAGTATACAGTATAACGTAATGTGTTTCTAAAAAACTAAATATATATGAATTGGACAGCGAGTCATGGGTAGAGTGACCCGACAATACACATGTATTGAACGAGTTCTACGAGACTTACTGAACTTCTTCAACAAATGTGATATTGTAGTTCGCTAATTTGTTATCCTGTTTATCTCATAGCATCTCATAGCAGCTTTAAAAACGCGGAACAATTGACTTATGGTCGCCACAATGAAAGCATGTCTCCGTCTCATAACAATATCACGGGGAAAATTCTTTTCTCTCTGGGTTCTCCACACGTGTCAGGGGGGAAACTCGTCTCGTCTCTATATCGCGTCCCCTGGAGGTATGGGATCGGGAAAGTCACTTTACGCCTTACAGTCAAATAAGACACACACAACGAAATACGTTTCAGCTCTCGTCTTAGTCGGTCAATCGAGCACTCTATCAGACACAGCGCCCTGGGGAAAAATCCCCAAGACTATCGCAAGGCTGACTCAAGACTCTTTTAGACTGCGTCAACACTCGCCCCAAGGCTCTCCAGGACTGCACTCTCGACTGCGTCTATCGTGCTGTGCTCCCCAAGACCAACTCAAACTTTCTTTATTCATTTTCAAAACTCTAACCAATTACAAAACAGAAAAAAGACTCTAGGGCGTAACTTTCAATCATAAAGCCAATCACACTATGTACTGAATACGTCATATCTTTTGATTAATCGTTCACTACATTAATAACTATGAATATAAACTGTCAGAATGAGTAGTCTGAATAGCGGCGGTTATCTGGTAATTAGTTCCAAACCACTGAGCCAAGTTCCGTCCAAAACTTCAAATAGGCCTAAACGATGACAGACATAACACAGCAATTCAGCTAATAATCAACTAATTAAGTCGATTAACAGATACGCAAAAACAAATTCATGACAACAAACTCATTATATTACGTGTTTCATTATAGTGAACTGTACACTTCACTATAACTAACTAATAGTATTTCCCTTAAGATGTCGTTAGAAAAAGGTTACAGTGTAAATACTATGGAAATGTTGTCCCTTTATCACACTGAACTGTTATGAGTTAGGTTATTATACACACACCGTTCCTTTGTGCTCTGAATGAAAACTGTAAGCATCAGTATGTACGAAACGAAGAAAAAACGGTCGTAGCGTCATAGCGGTGTCAACACGTCGCCTGGGATTTTACAAACTCGAGTGTACTTGTATTTCGGAATATTTCCACAAATAATAATCTCGCAGAAAGATCTCACAGGGAACGGAAAATCACGAATCGAATTATATGTACCTAGGACAGTGTTTAATTAAATGCAATTGTTGATGATGTTTGTTCATGTTTTTTTTTAACAGGACTGCACTGAATGCGATTACAGAGGAGCTGAACAAACCAAACAGGTCATTATGTTTTAGAGAATAAGATTACCCGTTGTCATTGACAATTTAAACTATTATACTTTTATATACAAATAAAATGATACTATAAAGGAGATATATTTCCACTCAAAGTTGCATCCACTTTGTTAAATAAAAACAAAGTTGAGCAGCGAAACTAGCTTGGTAATTGAGAGAAACATGGTCATGGTATCTAAACACTAAAGTAAAAATTTAGCATAAAGTGTAGGAAATCAAAAGGCGCTTATAGATGTTAGTGGGAGGTTTTGTACAGATAATACAAAGTGAGAACGCACGTTTGAAGTCATTTTAGCATACATCAACATACATGCAATGTTTATCCTGTACTTAAAAGGGATGCATCGTACTTGTAATCGTTTTTGAAACGTGTTTTAAATCATTCTAAATGCAGGGATTTTCCAGTGGCAGCTTCTGTGTCGATGTTGTTGATCACCGCTATATATGTAATGACTAACATCGCCTACTTCACCGCCATGTCACCCACGGAACTTCTGAGATCACCAGCAGTCGCTGTGGTAATCACATTTCTTCCAATCATTGAATGGAAATATTCTAAATGCTCAAATATTGTGTTGTTGTAATTAGAAATTCATTATAATTTGAATATTATATTACAGACATTTGGAGACAAGCTTCTTGGTGACTGGGCGTGGACAATGCCGGTAGTTGTTGCAATTTCCACATTTGGAACAACAAATGGAAGCATCCTCACATCATCCAGGTAACATAGATACGATCTTTTGACATTAAAAGTCATGCTTGAACAGTTACTTCCGCAAATCCTTATCATTCTCTTAGGCCGGCCTTAAATACTGATATATCATCACTACAATTGTTTCGAAATAAAAAAGTCAGTCAGAATGTACGTCTGTGTGTGTGTTATTTAGACATGTCTATTGTTATCGATATCTAAAACACAAAACATGCGACAAAAATAATTTTTACGGACAGTAATATTTTAGATAAAATAAACATTTTTTTTTATTTGACACAGAATTATATTTGCTTGTGCAAGGGATGGTTATCTTCCAGATTTACTAAGCATGGTACAAATGAAATACAACTCACCTATGCCATCATTGATCATAATGGTAAGCCGTCGTTAAGACAAAATGAAATTGTATATTCCAACAAATTTTGCCACGCTTTAGTCAGTTACGTCAATACGACCCACTATATAACATTCTCAAAATAGTTTCTCCATTTCTTGATGTGTGGATTTGTATGCATTGAGTTACAGTGGATATTGTCCGCCATATATGGCTTGTACCCGTACATTGGAAGCTTGATAAACTATACAGCGTTTGCTTACTGGTTATTTGTTGGTATCGTTATCACGGGTCAAATATATTTACGATTCCGGAAGCCGTATCTACAGCGTCCATTCAAGGTAACGCATGTCGCATATTGCCTTTACAGTGATCGATTTAATAAAACATTGATAATTGTTCATGTTTGTGCGCAAGGACAATATGACAGAAATATGACAAATCTGTAATTAATAAGAAGCACATATTACGTCACGTTCTTTATTCTTATAGGGAGATAAAATTACAACAAACCTACAAACATTATATCTAATGTCGCCCAACAAATAGATGTATATATATATATTTGTAATCATAGATTTGATAATATTTTTTTTATTCAGATTCCAATTATCATTCCTATATTTTTTGCGATGTTCGCATATTTTCTGGTTTTTGTTTCAATATTTTCCGCAACAATGGAGGCTGTAATCGGACTTATCATTATATTAACTGGTGTACCAGTATATTTTTATTCAGTGTGGACTAATAAACCACGATGGTTATCAAGGATGTTCAGTAAGTGTTCAGTTATTTGTATAAATATTTTGTGTGATTCAGAATTCCTACACTGGCATTCCCACACAAGGTTATATCGTGTATTATAATATAGTATAATTTTGATAAATATATTTCGACTACGTTATTACAATTTTATCATGTGTGTTAATGTATGTCAATGTCAATGTCACAAATCACAGTTATCCTGTTATCATTGTTTTCTAACAGGTAGAAGCAAATATTCACTTCAAAAATTGATGCTTGTCATGAAACAAGAAATTGAAACATACTGACGTGACCTTAGACGTGGACTATACGAGTACAAACAGACGACTCCCTGTATACGATATGAGTCACATTCGTACTAGACAACGGTGACAGAGGCACCGAGAA